AACATGGTAATCAGACTAATGATGTTTCGTAACATCAGTGCTATAAAAGTGATTAGTTTAATAATGATAATTTAAACAATTAAATGGTCTTGTTTTCTTCTCACATCCTTAGAAATAAATGCCTTAAGCATTTCAGAAATGGAAACCAAGAAATGATACCAAAATATTGCTTCTATACACTGAAATTGAGGAGCCTAACATTTCTGAGAAATCAGTCATTTCTTGTTAGTTTTTTTGTTATATACACTTTTAGATATGCGAACCCATGTCATCCAGCTTTCTATATATCACACTAGAAATAGTGGTTACTATAGATCACTGTGTGCCATAGCTTCTTCTCCAATACTCTGTTTTCAGTTTCTTGGAGCCTTTCCAGTTAATAGTTTCCAGTGTTCACCTCTACCCATATGCGAATATTCACTGCAAAGTCAGTAGAAGATGTTTGACCATTTTTTTCAGGTCAAGGGTAGTAAAGATACCCACTAAATTCTCTATTATGTAACTGGTGTATATATATAAGCCTGTCATGCGCTGGCAATGACATATTTGAAAATTTAATTGTGAGATATTGTTGAAAGTAAAAATGGAGAGGAAAAAACCCAGAAAATACTGTATTTAGAATAAATGCTAGTCTTGACAGTTATTGAATAATATTTTTGTATTATTAATATTTTTAATCCCTCAATATTTATATCGGTTCACAATAAAATTAGTCCAGAATGCCTTTGATTTAAAAATAGCAAATTTTCAAAACTAAGGGAAGAGGTTAATGAAATAAATTTAACTGAAATAGCAAAGGAAAATTTAAAAAAAAAAAGTAAAAATATTATTTAACCATACACATTAAAAGAAAATAAGCAAAGGACTATGTACAGTATGTGCTGAATTTGAGAACACAAACTAAGTATGCCTTCGTAATAAAGTGAATACTGCTTCTTTTTTTCCTTTTTTCTTTTTTTTTTCTCCCCCCCCCCTTTTTTTTTTTTTTTTTTTTTTAAAAAAAACATTTTTTTTTTTAATAAGAACAGTAACATACAGTGATTGGGAAATGTCAGCACTGTTGACAAGGATGTGTTATGGAATGGGAAATTTAAAATGGAAAATCAGAATGGGATGAAGAGTGCATGGAGTTACTAAATCCCATGTATCTTACACCAGTGCAATACTAGGTAACGTTTTTGACCAAATTTTAAGTGAACAGACAGTTATCTCCAGATATATACAGCTCAAGAGAAAAAAAGATTATTAGCATCATTTTACTGCAGATACATGGCACGAAGTGTCCAGACTTGCATTGTTCAAGTACCAAATCTCCTTCATGATGATGATAATTCTTTGTAGACAAGAAAATTACAGTAGCTGTAATCTATCCAAGCATTATATGAGAAATTAGTAGCTAAAATAGAGAAATGGATTAGTGCAAGACTGTAGAGTAACTAACTAACTAAATGGGAAATTATACATATTTGCAGAAATTAGAAGTATTAATTTATAGGGATACTGGTGTTGGAATTTATCTAGATTTCATATTTTCATCAATACACTGCATAAAGCAGGTATTTCTGTAACACAGTTGCTAAGAATTGTCAAAGTATAAGAGGATCAGAAAATCCAGACTACTAGAAAAGGGATAATATATAACAGCATAAAGTACAAGGAAATGCATTTTAAAAATACTACCAAAACTTAATGCCATGAATTGGGAATTTATCACTTAAAAAAATAGAGAAAGGATTGAGCCATTGATGTGACTGTAAGATGCACCAGGAAAGTGTTTTCTAAGTAGAGAAATTTTGTTGTCAGTGTCCCAGAGTTCAGAGAGACAATATTTTAAATACTGCATAAAGTTCTGGCAACCGTATTAAATATATATATATATACACACACACACACATATTTATATATAAACTAGAAAAGGTCCTGAGAGAGACAACCATTATGATTAGAGGAAATATACAGAAAATGTTTATGTAGGAGAAAAAGTTAAGAGAATGTCTGATTTTATTGATACATATCAAGGACAAAAAAGACATATCTAAGTAAATGACAACGATGGCTTTGGGACACATGTATATAAACTAACCATGTCTAGGCTTAGGATAGAAATTAGAAAACAGTGAAGACAGACATCAGAGGAAGGACTCAAGCTCTAGAACATCCCTCCAGTGGAAGCTGTAATGACTATAGATAATGTTTTTAAATGGGATTTAGTAATTAAACAGAATTACTTACCTAATTGTGTGGTTTCTTTCTAGCAGGAGGCTAAACTAGATAAATGGAAACTTCCTGGAACTGTGATCTATATGTTAAGTTGGCTGTTTCTTTTTTGATAATGACAAGACAAAACCTGAATTCCTTCTAGAAGAATGGCATGATCTATATAAAGTCCTTGAATGCCTGCTGAATTGTTTTCTATCCTGTTCTTTACACATTATTTAATATGCTTGTCACTTCCAAGTATATTTTATCCTGGCTTGTTCAGAAAGACTCTATGCCTTTTGCAGTTAATTTGCAGAGTTAGGCTACCTATACAAAGTAGCTCATATTGCTCCTCATGGCGTTTTCCCCTTTGTCAATCAGTACGTTGTTCTAGTCACCAGCATTATGAGGTTTCCTCTTCAGCCTTCTCGCAATCTTACCTAATGAAAGCAATTTTGTTTTATCTGCATATCTCAGCCACTTAGTATTCTATATCCTCCTTGAACCATTAATGAATATATAAACCCTATGACAGTATGGTACATCTCACTGTCAACCTTTTGTCCTGCTCTGAGGCGACCATTTTATTCCTTCTCTTTCAGTTTAACATACTCAAATCAGAAGCAAGTCCTGCAGTTAATATAACAATCGTTTCACCACTTGCTGTGGTCTCTGCTAATTGTAACCTCCAGGCAGTACCTCACATCTCACCTTCTGAGTGCTTAGTTTGCTCAGTAACCCTATAATAAGCATCTGATTAAAGGTTCTTGAACCTTGATCTGAAAAAGTTAAGGTGCTGTGAATGCAGCACAGGGTGCTGTGAATTCAGCAGAAAGACTGCAAGTGATGGAGAAATACATATAGCTGTTAATTTGCCTGTCTAATACTTAGATATTTTTTACAACATAGAAGCCTGGTACTCAGAATGCTATATGGCATTTAGTAGGATTCTAGTAATTTCAAGCTTCATTTTCCAAACATAGGTTTTATTTCTGTATTGACTTGTAAAAGGATGAAAAAATACCATTGAGACTCTTCATCTGGAGCAGTTCTAAAACATGCAAAGGAGGATGCCAAAAATGTGGAGGTGGAGGGAAGAACATCAGAAACAAGGTCAGCATAAGAAATAATACACAGCTATTTGGTTTGAAATATATTAGATGATATATGTTGCTTTAGGGTTGTAATGTTAGTTTATTACATTGAATACACTGCTTCAAACACCAGAAAAGTATCCATTATTTATGGGGAAATACATCTGCCACTGGACTCCTAAAAAGAATTGAAGAGTGCTTCTAGGTTTCCTACCTGTACTGCAAACCCCTTTTTCTCCAGATCCAGCTTCTGCTTCCCCTCCATGTGCCTTCTGTCCCACAGGGAGACAGTCAAAGCCTCTGGGCCAAAAGGCATTTGTGTCAGCCTCTAACTAGGTCCCCAGTCTGGATAACCAAAGGATCATGATCCAGGGCTTATTGCATCATGTGCATGCCAATTAGTCTAGGCAGAGCCTCCAAGAGTACAGAATGGCCAAAGTCTCATTCTCTAGCTGAAAAATAGCACTTTCCTTCTTCAGGTATATCTCTGACTTCATTGACATCAAAGCAAGATACTATGCAGTGTTAGGGATTAAAATCTAACCCAAAACCTGAAATACACTGCCTAATCACAATATACATAAAATATTTTCCACTTTTATATTTAAAATCACTTACTGAAAACTGTAAACCATACGTAAGTGCTTACTATGCACACATAATATTTAAAAATGCTGTAAACAGATATCCAAAATAATTCTAATAACAGATTGAAAGATCCTGAAACATATTCCACATGCCTTGGATTCTCATAATACAACATATTTACAAAACAAACAAAAAAAAAAAAAACCAAACCCAAACCAACAAAAAAAACATAAAAAGACATGGACCACTTCTAAAGTACAGAAGTTAAAGAACACACAACTAAAACTTGTAGTGTACGTATAACAATTTTAAGAGTAAGCGGTGCTGCCTCAGAAGGGAATATGGCAAGGGCAGTCAGGAGGTCCATTGACACACAGTCTCCTCTCTCAGTTCCTGTGGAATCCCAGCGGCAATAAATATGCTCCTTTTGTACTGTCCTCTGGGTAAAAGCGGCAAACTTCATTTGGGGTCTGGATTAACCTACATACAGACTGAAAGATCTCTTTACTCACATAAATATTCTGAAGTTGGCCTTCAAAAACTGAAATAGCAATTTGATTAGGTTAATCTGTATGAAATTAACATGACTGCTGTTTCCTACTTTTCATTGTATTACAGCATGTGAGTAGTGTATCCTACTTTGCATTTCAAATTAAATATACCAGTTGATTTTGTTCTGGAAAAAAGTATGTCTACTGAAAGACAATTCTCAAACCCTTTCTCAAATGTCATGAAATATAGGAATCTTATCTTAGAACTCAGGCAAGTATTTTGCATTTCTCTGTTCTAACAAACAGTAGTTGTTTCTCTACAAATGAGATGGTTGGTATATAACTGAATATCTCTGAACAGATAACATTTCAGGGAAAAACTGTTTTTTAACCAAGAAATCACTGTCTTAGAAGAACAGCTTTTCTTCCTATGTTGGTTCCCATAAAAATCTAATTAATTACCTGTATTTCAGCAACGATATACAATTGTGATTTATATTTATCTAGGTTTGGGCAGTATTCACATTGGGAGTTTTACTGGGTGTGGCATTCAGCAGTTTATTTTGTGATTATTTTTTTCTGAAGATACTTTCACTAATCTAATGTTACAGAAATTCCAGCGTCTCTATTACAACTCTTTCTCATCCTTACTATTTCCATTGTCTATTGTACAAAAGCAAACTTCGTTGTCTTCTTCTTCTTTTTCTGTAGGAAAGGCATTTTCAATTTTCAGATCTTCAGAGGCATTACGTTCACTGTTATTTAAAGAAGTGTCACACTTCAGAAATGTTTCAGAATGACAGGTTTCTGTAGGATCTGCCAACATGGGAGAAAATTTTTCTCCAACAATATGACTTAGGCTTATTCTTAGGGCTTGGCATATTTTTGGCTTTCTATTGGGTAGCTCACTGTTTGTGCCTCTCACAAGATCACTGGGTATGTGTTTGGATACATTATTTTGACAATTGCTGACTTCCATGTGTTTTACATTCATATCCTCAATAACGTGTAACTTCCCTAAACTGCTTGTGTCTTTCAGAGTTGAAGATGCAAGTATTCCAAAGTTACTAATAAAATCTAAGGTGTTATTAGCATAAAACCTATTAAAAATATTATTGGCAATCTTATCGATACAGTTACTCTTCAAATTCACATGATTATTTTCATCTGTTATTAAATCTTCACCTAACCATTGTAAATGTTCACTCTTTTTGGCCAAGAAACATGGACCCAGCTGGTTCTCAATATCAGATGCCTTTTGGTAGGCATATCCTCTCTGTTCCTCATTAATTGGTGTTACTGTTACCATCAGTATTGGACAATGTTGGCCACATATAGCATGGAGTTTATCTAGAGAATCTTCTTCCTGAAGAGCACTTCTGTTAGCATTACTAACATTGGTTGGCTGAGACTGTATGGGTTCATCATTTAAAGGTTGTTCCAATGGATGCACCTTGTTATCAGGCAATCTAAATTCTACAGATGTAAAGGCTGGAAAATTGGTATCAGCCTGTGTGGAAAGATGTGTGGAAGTAGAACCTACCATGACCGATGATTTGATCGTTTGTTTGTTCGCTGCAGGAAGGGAAGTGATCTTACCATTGCGGCTAGGTTTGTTTTTTGTACTTAAGTCATCCTGAAACGGGTCTGAATCACTATTATGAGGTATATTGAAGTAGTTGCAAAAACTTTCAGAAGGTTTAGCCATGTCTTCAAGTTCTGAAGAAGAGATTTCATTGAGGACTGGGTACTGATTCAGATTGCCAAAGTGCGAATATGGAACATCATCACTGTTAGTATCAACGACTGTGTCTGTGGATGTTGTTTCCAAATTACCATACATTCCAATCCGTTCAGGTGGTGATCTTCTTATCAAATGATTTTCTTTGAGAAGCCATTTGCCTTTATCTATCAATATTCCTTCACCTTCATTAACTTGTACACTAGGTTGATGCTGCTGCTTTGGAGATTCCCCTGAATGACCATTAATATAACTTGTCTTTTCTCTGTTAAGGGTAGGTTGTGATGTTGGTAAAGAAGTAATTTCTTGTCTCAATGTACTGTCATCTTTGTTTATGTTTACTGGAAATTCTTGTGATGGTAGTGAAGAATGTGACAGTTTCTCTGTAGAACAAGACCTAGGCTCTTGAGAAAAATAAATGGTTTTTTCCACCACTGCAGAATGGAATTCTTCAGTATCCTTTTGAAATACTTTTGACATATAAGGAAATGTTTTGTGAAAGTCAGGCTTAAATGAAGCTTCCGTCTTGCCATAAAGTCGTTCAATAGTTCTTTTTACATAGCCAGTATTATAATGTTTTTCAAGTACTGCTTCCTCCCCACTTTCATTGGTCAAATCACTGGATGCCCTAAAGTTATAATCACTCTCTTCAGTATCTGGTCTGTAATCTGACCAGTCTGAAGTAGCAGGACTTCTTAAACATTTTTTTGATTGAGAAGTATCTGAACACATTTTATTCTCCAGTTCTTCTACTTGCAATTTCTGTTCTCCTTCACTCATACCACATTCTGTAATTTGCTTTGATTCATAACAAAATGATAATGGAGACACTGTAGACAACCTCTCAGAGGTTTCCTCACAAGTGTCTGCATCTTCCTTGTCTTCCTGGACAGAATAATCCTCATTGTTATATTCTACAGAGGTTTCAACAGCTAGTTTCAGTTGGTTATTTGTTTTTTTGTCATTACCTGCTGACCTTGGATCAATTTTCTCATCTTCACTTTTAACAGTAGCAACATGTATAATATCTTTCTCACCTTCTAACTCGGAAATATCATGATCTAAAATATGACTTTTATCATTAGAAGTTACACTATGCACTGTCGAGTTAGGTTCTACTGAAGTTTCTGACTCTTCATTAGTGAATGATGCATCAGTGGTTTTATCTTGAGATTTTTTATATAGGCTATCAGGCATTTCTTCATTTCTTTCAGGTGGCTCTATAGCTGATACAATGCTACAGGTATTCGAATTAGTATTGGCATATTGACCATCTAGCTGTGTTTTGGGAGCACTCAAGTCTAAAGTCTCTGTTTCTCTACAACGATCTTTCTGTATATCAAAACAGTTTTCTAATTCACCAGTCAATTTTAGAGCTTCTTCAGAATTTACACTGTCCTTTGGAATACAAGGCTCAACTGATTTTTCTTTTTCATGCAAATGTATACCATTATGAATTTCACATATGGGTATATTCTCATGGCAATGTGTGGAGTCCTGCTTTTTGAGTTCCCTCCTGAAGTGTAAGAAGTTATTTTCTGTTGACCGTTGAAAATGTGAGAAGGCAGCCTTCAGTTCATCAACTTTTTCTATGACTGTTGTTTGTTTCAGAAATTGTAACTGTGTAAATATTTCAGAACAGCTACAGGTAGTTTTTTGCACATCATCTTTGATTGTCCCAATCAAACTCTCTCCCAGATTCAGTACAAGTAGCCAAGCTAGGAGGACGTTGGAGGAAGAACCAAAAGCTGAAGGAGAAAGATCTGAAAGGCTGCAAGCTTTTCCTGTACATCCACTACGTTCTTTCTGAAGACCAAGCAAAGTTGATTGTAGTTCATGCAGCAACATGCTAGACATGCAGTTATTCTGAACATCAATTGCCACTTTCTCATTGACAATTGCACAATCAACTTGAACAGCAACTTCAGATTTTTTTCTTACACATAGATTTGTATCTTGAATATCAAATTCTGACATGCTTTTATTATTGTCATGTGTTTCATGAAACAAGTTTAGCTTACCATCACGATGAAATTCTGACTTTAGTGAATACTTGGCTGCTTCTACTATAGTTGTATTAGCATGAATCGAAGAGTCAGTTTGGTTTTCACCTGAATCCTTGGCTGATTCTTCTAAAGTTCCCAACTCACAAATAGGCTTCAACGTTTTTCTGGTTAAATTATGTTCAACTAGATGGTTTTTTCCAGTCACATGCACTTTATTTGTGATAAAACTTGTTTCTTTATCTATAGAAGCATCAGTACTTCCTTCAGGAAAATGACAGACATTGCTATTCTCTACATTCCCTTCTTTTTTATTTATAGGGGGTAAGACAGAATTTGGTAACAAGTTTTTCAGCCAAGTTTGGACATAGTTTTCAAGTGAATGCTCAACGACTTCCTCTTCAAAATTCTCTTGTTTTAGAGTCTCTAGTGTAATGGCACTCTCTGACATGTGTAACTTATTTGCACTTGTACTTAGATTTTTCATCATCCTCTTTTGCTTTTTCTTTGATGACACATTTTCTGAAATATTCTTATCCTTTTCTTTTTCAAAGTTAAGATTCTTTGGCACTTCTGACAATGGCTTTGAAATCACTGATGAGTCAGGTGTCTGTTCTAAAGAACTGGTTGTGAGATATGTGCCTTCTCTTTCAGTACGCAGTGTATCCTGACTGAGTTCAGATTCATTGTTCGAATCAGCTGTCATTAGACCTTCTTCACTCTTTGCAGATGAAACAATACTATTTTTTTTTCCTGAATTCAGTTTTACCTTGACCAACTTGTTCTTTTTTCTTGTTTTTTTATTAGATGATAATCCATTTTGTTCCACTGAATCCTGGTGATAGAACTCTTCAGGACATATGCTTTTGCCTGAATTGACAGATTCATCACTGTTTTTTACAAAAAATTCCATTCCTTTTTTCTGAGATATTTCAGAATAATTATCCATAGTCTCTGTTGTAGAATCCTGTGTGGTTTTGCTTGTGGTATGTATTCCCTCGCTTTTAATTATCCCTGAAATTTCTTTATCTTTTTTATTTTCATGTGTACCTTGCTCTAGAGAGTTAGATGATTTTCTTTTCTTCTTCTTCTTGGTGAGGGAAGATGCAGATTGGCTGTCATCAATGAGATGTGTTGCCATTGTGGATCCTGTCCTGATGCTGCTTTGATTCTCACTTTCAGTAACAGTAGGAAAGAATCCATTTGTTGGATTTCTTTTCTCAGTAGGAGCTTTACTACATGGAGATACCATCGTCTTCATCTGGCTATGTCCGTGACAGGCTGAATGCACTGAATCTTGAGAAATAGGTAATAAATCAGTAGCTTTGCATTTTGCTCCTTCTTTTGACTGACATAATTCTGAATATCTAATGAAAGAACTCAGTGATCTTTTGATTTGTTTAATATCACATGACTCATGAATGTGGTCTGCTGAGCCTGGCCTAGCCGCCTGGTAAATTTTTGGTGATGGTATGAAACCACTGATGTTAGCTTTGCAGGTTGATACTAACCTATTATATGTACCTTGTTCCACAACTGATTTCTCTAATATATTCTGTACCAATTCATCCTCGTCAGGCACTTCTAATGTCTCCCTATTTGTGGTTTCTATTAAATCTTCACTTTTGTGGCTTACTTTAAAAAGCATTTCTTCTTTTATATTCTCTGAAGAAAGCTTCAATAAATCATTGTCACTTGTCTCACTAAACTTTGGATTACTGACACTTGATTTTTTTCTGCTTGAATGAGCTACCATGCAATACTCAGATTTATTTTCTCTGTTCTGTATTTCCTCGGTATAGGAAAACTGTCCTATTGTCTTCTCCTGGACCTCTTTCTCAGATACCAAGGTGACACTTTCAACTACTGCTTTCTTTTGTCTAACACGTCTTGGCCCAGGGGTGGGAGGCCTATAAAAGCGAGGCCTCATATTATCCTCAGGCACATTGTTTATATCTAGATCTGCAGAACTGTTCTTACAGATATTACAATCAGCAGTTTTTAAACCAGACTCTGATTCTTTGTCTGACACTGCTGCATTGAAATCCTGTAATGAGTCTCCCTCTTCTTTATTGTAGCTCTTCAAAAATGTAGCATCTTTTGGTTTTATACATTCTGATACATTTACATCGGATAAGCAGTCTTCTGCATGCATTGCAGAACTGCAAATGGCGATATTTTTGTCATCAGAAAGGCCAGCACGACTTACAGTGGTTGTCCATTTAATAGTTTCTTCCTCTTTAATTTTGAATCGAACTTTCATTTCCACTGTGATACTGCCATCTTGATTAAGGTGAACAGATTTCTCAATGTCATCTTCATACTGTGCCACAGATAATTCTTCACCAGTAACTGACTGATTTCCTCCTATATCATTTTGACTGTCAGGAACATAGGAAGAATCTGAGTTGTTATCATTTGAGTTGTTATCATTGCTGGACCCTTTATCAGAAGAAACTGAGAATATCTGAGATCTTGAGCTAGAGCCCACTTCAGCTCTCGCTACCAATAATTATGTTGAAAGAACCCAAATTCATTCAGTAGGTGGACAGTAGAGCAGACAAATATCATGTATAAGGATCCAGATGATGAGACAGCAGATAGGCAGCAAAGGAAGAGGAAAGAAGAAAGGAGAAAAATTAGTACAAAAGAAGCTAATGAAGTGTGTTTATTTTACCAGGGCATTAGAAAGTAATGAGAAAAACGTGGCTAATCTTTCTGTTCATTTTAAGAAGTTGTTAGAGAGACAAATATAACCAATTTTAAATAAAGAATGAAGCATTTAACTACTTTTCCATTTAATATTATTTTGCAACGAGTTCTTTCTAATGCCAGAGCTATAGCCGTATTTGAAGCTCCAAAGCCTAAAGAAGTACTAAATGCTCTCATTTTATACTTAGTTGGGGGATGAGGTTTCCTTGAACCTTTCAAGGGATTCACAGGCCCTCACTTCTTTGGGCTTCAAGCTACCAACTTTACTTCTTCATGCCTTAGTAATCATTAATATATCATTTCCTATTAGTTCTTACAATTAGTGCTAAAATGTGTCAGTCAAGATGAACATATGTCTCCCTGGGCTTAATCCAACAATCTACGGCATTTGAGTAATTACTGTGAGTAGTCACTGACATGTGAATAAAGGGTTGAGATCCGATCCCCTGGACGAACCTCTACAGAGAAGTAAACACTGAACCACTTGAACATCTTATATAATCTGAATTTAACATTCTGATATTTTATGCTACTATTCTGTAGATGATGATGCAAAACTCAGTAAAGCCAATGAGAATACATCCAGACTTCAATGAGTTTTGAGTATGGCCCAATATGTGTTTGCATATACATTAAATATTCCCAAAATATGTTTTGATTACTCTGTGATAACTTGGCTTTTAAAGAAAATTATCTCTCATCTCTCTCTAGCAGTTGTCACTGAAGAGGTGAGAGATAAAAGAACATAAGATAAAAATAGTTTTGCTGTCTTCCAAAAATTTTTGTATGTGCGAGGCAAACAGCGCATGTACACCCACACAAAGACATCCACAACTGCTACTGGTAGCTAAATATATAGGAGCCACCATTTAATAGAAAGGTTTCATTTGCAGGAAGGTATTTTAATACATGTAATATTAACTTACCTACATTGCTTGGATTTAACCTTTTTTTTTTTTTTTTTAGCTCAGGTGAGTCACAAATCTCCTTATATCAAGACTTTCACAGTTAACATATTACTATTATAGATACGTGTCTATAATTTCAAGCAGAGTGCCTTGCAAGTTTCCCAGGCATATTCTTTACCATGAACTCAATCAGAAATAAAAGTTTGTACTAACTCTGCTAACACAGACCAGACCTTACACTTCCCAAAGTAAAAATCTCACCTTTTCTGTCTCGGGAAATGGAATTGGAAGAAAGTGCCTGAAATTTGATTTTCCAGGCTCTCACATCATCGGTGATGTCTCCTACACAGGATACTTTTGAATGTCTCAGGTTGAAGACAAAAAGAGGGTTGTTTTTTTTCTATTGCTTTCTGTAATTTCTGTTTATTAAGGATTAGAAGAAGGAGCTTAGATTCTCAGCTACTCACATTTTCTACCATTGCAAGGCTTAATCTCTGGCTCAAAGCAAAGTTTGGGTAGGATTTTTTGTTTCTGCAGAACTTTCATTCTCAAAATGTTCCTATTCATCCTCTCTTGACTCATTAGTTATGCTCTGCAAACAGCTCTCAAACTGTGCAAGTCAGAGAACATGAAGGTTGAGAACAACTGAAAAGAATAGTTTGGTGCGGACATCATAAACTGTGAGGGATGGATGTGGAAGAAACTCCTTCAAATAAATGGAAGTCAAGCGTCTTATTTATCAATATGTGCTCCATGACACAGTCAAGATTGCCATGGAAAATCTCAGTACAGAAACAATTGTTCCCTGGGCTCTCCAGTACAGCATGCAGCTCTATCAAGAGTACAAAATAACTCTGGATTAAATAAGTTTCCCCCTAGACAGTACCTCTGCCCTTGTGTTGGGTTTGCGTGGCAAGGTTTTGGTAGCAGGGGGGGGGTCTACAGGGGTGGCTTCTGTGAGAAGCTGCCAGAAGCTTCCCCTGTGTCTGACAGAGCCAGTGCCAGCCAGCTCACA